TCCATAACTTTCGCATACGAGCTTCGTTTTTGACGTTATTTATATCCACGCATAGGTAAAAATAAAATCTACAACTTTCCTTTTTACTTCGTCGGCTAATTCTCTACCGATCTTAAATTTAACAGTGGGAGGTGATTACACTGTTAAATGTTCGCGTAAAATTCATAACTTTTACATACGGACTCCGTTTTCGTCCGTCTTTTTGTCGTTGAGTTCCTATTAATGAGATATTAAACTCTCATTTAGGTCACGTAAGCCAAAAACCGCTCGAACTAAAATTCGAGTTTCCGATCATGCACCGCTATGCCAAATCTTAGAAAAATCATAACTTCCTCATACGAAGTCAGATTTGGGCGTTCTTTTTATATACACTATTGGTTTAACATTTTCTACGACTTTTGTTTAGATCGCTAAGGCTAAAAGTCGCTCTATCGTAAATTCACTATTTACACTTCCAGGTGCCATGTCGGTTCCGTCGCAAAACTTCGACGGGTCATAACTTTTTCGTTATAACTCGGATTTCTTCGTTCTTTATTTCTACGGAACCCTTGAGACATATTCTACAACTTGGTTAAGATTATTTATTCTAAATAATATTTTGTCGAAAATTCGTTTTCGACCCCTATTATCTCTAAATTGACTAGCCCAGATCTGCGGGCGTTACAATTATCTCCCCCTTAGGATGATTACGTCCCGGAATCATCAAAGAAACAGGGCTCACATGATGACTCCATACGTTATCTCTTCATCCTAAGTAATAACCTTAACTTTGATGTTTCTTCAAACGAGTATCTAACTCTAAGATTTCCTAACTACAGGCGGTGCCTGATCTTGGACCCGCTCCCAATCTCACATTGGACTCCCAATTATGACCTTCAAGTCATAATATCGATCCTTACTGGAGACTGCTTCTTCCTCTTAACAATCTTAGGATTACTACCATGGACCGATGTGTCGTATTGTAATAACCTAACATTATATGTTGCAACACTTAGACTCGGGTATTTTAGAGTCAAATTTCCATAACGGACTATACCTCCCTTCATGTTCTAATATGATATAATCACATCTTAAAAGGTAGCATTCCTAGCTACAAGCAACTATCCCGATACCTCTACAGATCGCTTTGATTGTCTTTCACTTCAATCTTCTAGCTTAAGTCAGATACTATATCGGACTTGGTTCTCTGAACCATGTATCATACTCATCGTATTCGGACTCAATTTGATATGACCACTAGGGTCAGAATAACAACAATCTTCTTAGTCATTACCGAAACGATGGTAACGACATGCTTGAAAAAAAAGGGCTCAATTATTGGCTTCTTGGTAACCTTGTGACTTTCCTTGATCCAAGCGTGAGTCCTGTGCTTCCGGTAGTATATGCATCTACTACCTTTCACACCTACTCATACTCGTCCTAAGTACTGTCTCGCAGTCCCTAAGTCCTAAAATCACAAAACAATTTAACACATACGAGTGTGTCCAAATAATCATAAAAATTTCCCTAGACTCTACTGGGACTTCTTCCATGTGTATTTTCAATCATCAATTCTGCTTCAACTCGGTTGGTGATGGAAATTCCAAATGATAGGAAAACTTTAGGAATTACACCAATCGTTCTATCATCCCGCCAATCAAATATGTACATTTAGATGTACCGTACTTCTCTAGACGTATTGCTATTTTATCAGAGGTATTCTAAAGGCAAGATACCTCTCTTATGATATCTTCTGATAGGTGTCATTCACTATCGTAATCCATCTCATTTCCTCTATTTTCTCAGTCTGTCATGGTTCGCATCACTTTCTGAACTTCTGCCATTGTGATAGGTTCGGGTGCAGTCACAACGACCGATGCATGACCCATCACATTCTTAGGCTCAGGTTGTCATCTTCCTCGGATATTTCCTAGTCTGTCTTCACCATGACGTTTTGTACACCCAAGCAGACGTTCGGTGTACCGAGGCGAGAATTTTAAGATAGGAAAGATTTTATAGACGTATAGATCTCCTTGTCACACCGAAAAGGTATATACCAGTTCTAATACCGTAATCAAACGTTTAGAAATCTGAACATATAAAATTTCCAGATCCGGTCAGCAACAGACCATAGATTCGAACAAATAATAGCATATAAGGTATCTTTATAGGTATAACATAAAACATTTTAGGCATATTTCCTAAAATAAACTAGTGATTGTGTGTAAAATATAGCAGTCACTCATCTCACAATCATCGCTTAGCATTCTAAGTTTGAGTCTAAAAATTTCCTATAAATTCCTAGTTCGCTTAAACTAATGCTCTGATACCAACTGTGACATCCTCATTTTCACGGTCAGAAAAGATCGATTTTGTTTATGCTTTATAAAAATCATAGTATCTCTTTTAATAAAAACGTTGGGGAATTCGTTCATCAAATAAAACATCGAAATTAAGGTTAGAAAATGATCAAATCATTTTTTGTTTGAAATTTTCATATATTTATCTACCAATCTACTATTTTGTAAGATTTAAATAGTCAAAATATCATATTTATCATATTTTTAAAAAAGTTAACTTGTATGCACTCCACCTGTTTTATGAAATGCATAAACTTAGGGTTGTAAACGAACTGAACGTTCGGCGAACCGTTCGTGAACTGTTCGGCGGGAAGTTCGTTTATTTAATAAATGAACGAACATGAACAAAAATTATCGTTCGTTTAGTTAAATGAACGAACATGAACAATGGTTTGGTTCGTTTATTTATGTTCGTGAACGTTCGTTTATGATGTTCGTTTACGTTCGTTTATGTTCGTTCGTTTAAGTTTATTTATATTCATCTATATTCAATTATTTTTTATTACATTGCTATATTATATGTTCATTTATGTTCATATATGTTCAATTGTGTTTTTTTTATCTTTGTTCATTTATGTTTGTTCGTTTATGTTCGATTAGCTTGTTCACGAACATAAATGAACGAACATGAACAAAGTCATTTGTTAAACTAACGAACATGAATAAGAAAATCTCGTTCGTTTATCCGTTCGAGTTCGTTTGTTGTTCGGCTAACTTAAACGAACGAACATGAACAAGACCTTGTTCGTGTTCGTTTGGTTCGTTTACAGCCCTACATAAACTAAATTACCACGTTATATTCACATATGAATATGTTTTCTCACCTGGATCAATATGTGATTATTAAAACACAAAACAAATATGCAAGTTTGTATGTTATTCATATGTGAATAACATATAAAAATTTTATATATTTCTGAAAACACATTGTAATATTCATATATGAATATACTATGCAATATTCGCATATGAATATACCAACCATTATTCATAAGTGAATATGCGGTCTAATATTTACAAGTGAATATACTATGTACTATTCTCATGTGATATACCATGTAATACTATATAATATTTACATATGAAAATATAATCTAATATTCATAAGTGAATATATCATCTAACATTCACAAGTGAATTACTACGTAATATTTACAAGTGAATGCATCGTCTAATATTTAAATATAAATATACTATGTTTAGTATATGTTATATTCATATATGAATGATACTTAAATTGTAAAAAAAAAAATTAATCATAGTTTTTATTCATAAATGAATAACGAATGTAATTTAGTAAAAATCAGATTCATTTTTATTCACTTATAAATAACGATAGCTGAATATATATATATATATATATATATATATATATATATATATATATATATATATATATAATTTTATCTTAAAACTATATCAATATGGATGTCTATTTGTAGAAAATAAAAAATCATTGAATTTTGGTATATTTAAAACCATTTTTCGATAAAAATAACTTCTTAAAAATTTTTAAAAAATTAAAAAAAATAAAAAATAAATAAATAAATAAATAAATAAATAAAAAACTATATTTTTGTATATATTAAGGTAATGCTTAACATAGTTTAAGGAAACATGTTTTGTTGGAAAACACATGTACATTCCTTTCCCATTTCCACGTTGGAGGCTTTTGCGGTAAAAATAAATGATTGGCTGAGAATGATTCGTTCATTCTCAACCTTTTTTTAAGAGTAAATTACACGAATGGTCCCTATGGTTTAGGGTAATTTGCACGTTTGGTCCTTAACTTATTTTTTTCACTTGGAAGGTCCCTACTGTTTGTTTTTGTTACGCGTTTGGTCCCTATCTTACCTAAAAAGACTATTATGCCCTTGATTTTTTTAATTTATTTAAATAAACACACCCCTAATCCCACCCCTCACCTTACCTCACCTACCCCATCATTTTTTCCTTTTTAAATAATAGTCTTTTTAGATAAGATAGTGACCAAACACGTAACAAAAATAAACAGTAGGGACCAAATGCGTAACAAAAACAAACCATAGGGACCTTCCGAGTTAAAAAAGTAAGTTAGGGACCAAACATGCAAATTACCCCAAACCATAAGGACTATTCGTGTAATTTACTCTTTATATATATATATATATATATATATATATATATATTATATATATATATATATATATATATATATATATATATATATATATATATATATATATATATATATTAAAAAAACCACCGATTTTTCCAAGTAAATGTTACCCAACAAACTCACATGCGTTGCTCTCTTTTGCTCACCTGTTCATACTCAGAAAAACCTTTCATTCTTCAAAATTGTCCAACAATTATTTCTTATTACATTTAAAATAAAGATGTAATCGAAGAAAACACATTTATTTTTTATTTTTTAATAGCAGAAAACACATTTATTAATCTCAAACTTTTGGCATCTTCCCATCCATCTCCTGCATATATACCAACCCTTTTCCTCCATCTTCTTCCCCAACTCTCCTTCGCCATCTCTCACCCTTTTCTCCCTCTAAAACTTGGTGATTCATACCAGCATTGCCATTAGAGCTACCCCGTTTCTTCGATTTTGTGTACAAACACAAAAAAGCAAAAAAAAAAAAAACCCAATTAAAACTGGTTTTGTCGATGGGGAAATTGGTGGGATTCTGTTCAATGGCATCCACTCTGTTTCTTATTATGGGAGTTTTACCTTTGGCTTTAGCAAGAGGACATGATTACGGAGAAGCTCTAAGCAAAAGCATTCTCTTCTTTGAAGCTCAGAGATCCGGTTATCTACCCGGTAATCAAAGAGTTAAATGGAGAGGAAATTCAGGGCTCTTCGATGGCAAAGCAAATGGGGTAATCCCACTTGTAAATTTTCATCTATTTTTTGAAATTAAACCCGAAATTTTCGAACTCCCCATTTGGGTATGTTGATAACTTGAAACTGATTTGAATTTTATGATTTTGAAGGTGGATCTGGTGGGAGGGTATTATGATGCAGGGGACAACGTGAAGTTTGGGCTTCCAATGGCGTTTACAGTGACGATGATGTCATGGAGTATAATGGAATACGGGAATCAAATGGGTGCGAGTGGTGAGCTTAGTCATGCCATGGATGCTGTGAAATGGGGCACTGATTACCTCATTAAAGCTCACCCTGAACCTCATGTTCTATATGGAGAGGTACCCTTTTGTTGTAATTTTTATTAAAAAAAATGTTAGTGAGTATTAAGTATGATGATTTAGAAAGTAAAAATCCTTTGAGGAAATGACATTCATGATGGAAAATGACATGGAAGAGCCGAAACAATATTCGATTTCGAATATAAATATTGATTTTGTGGGTCCTGTTTTAATTATAAAAAATAATAAATACAACACTTATAATAAAAATTAATATGTATGGATTTAAGTGTTAACTTAAAATTAATGTTTAGTATTAAAGTTAATGTTTAGTATTAAGTATAAGTTTGTGGGTCTCTTTCAATATGACCCACAAATTTATACTTAGTTGTGCCTTTATAACCACGAAATTAATTTGCATGAGATTTAGTACTAATAATTAGATGTTGATATATAATGTCTATGTGTTAAATGTGTTAATTGATATTGTGTTATAGGTTGGAGATGGTAACACAGATCACTACTGTTGGCAAAGACCGGAGGACATGACGACTTCTCGAAATGCGTACAGAATTGACCAAAATAACCCTGGCTCTGATCTAGCTGGAGAGACTGCCGCCGCTATGGCAGCCGCCTCCATCATCTTCCGCCGCTCAAACCCTGCGTACTCGCGGGAGCTTCTCACCCATGCCTACCAGGTTAGATAAGCTTAAAGTACAATTTTTTTAATACATAGTATTCAACTATAAATGAAATTTTAATGTTCACATGAAGCATTTTTGTAAGGTTAAATACAACTTTTTAATGCATGAACTATAAATGACAATTCAATGTTGCCACGAAGTATTTTTGTAAGCTTAAAGTACAACTTATTATGCATTGATGTATAATATGAATTATAGTGACATTTAATGTGCACATGAAGTATTTTTGTAGTCATGTCACATGTGTGTCAACAATTTAAACGGACACCATGGCAAAAGCGTACGTTAGAGAATATTGGTGCATGTTAGTAAAGCGGTTGGTGTGTGAAAACAGTTACGGTTGATAACTTTATTGTCTGGCAGGTTGTTGGCGGTTTAAGTTAGCAATAGCATAGGGTGGCAGGCCTAACATAGTATAGTCTTTATTCCACTCTCTAGATGTACAATAAGTAATGCATAGGGTACATAGATATAAAGTAGGGGCATTTGTGTAATTTTAAATGCAAAGTTAATCGGCGCACATGTTGGGTAAATAAAATGTTAGGTATAATATAACCGTATAGTTGCAACTTTTGTCATTTCCGTTTTTACCCCTATGTTTTGTCGCTAATTGCAACTTTATTTTCGTCAGCTTTTCGATTTTGCGGACAAATACAGGGGTAAATACGACAGTAGCATCACGGTGGCCCAGAAGTACTACCGATCCGTCAGTGGATACGCTGTACGTAATTACAATCTCCCCCAACAACCAATCTTAACTGTTTTACCAATGCTTGTCGAAATTACATATTTACCCTTCTATATTTGAATCCGGGCAGGATGAATTGCTTTGGGCAGCTGCTTGGATGTACAAGGCAACAAGCAATGAGTACTACTTAGATTACCTTGGTAAAAACGGCGACGTTCTAGGCGGGACTGGGTGGGCCATGACGGAGTTCGGGTGGGATGTCAAGTACGCCGGCGTTCAAACCCTCGTCGCCAAGTTTCTAATGGCAGGTAACGCCGGTGGAAATGCTCCGGTGTTCGGAAAGTATCAAGAAAAAGCTGAATTTTTCATGTGTTCGTGTCTCGGGAAAAGTAGTCAAAACGTTCAGACAACTCCCGGCGGATTAATTTTCCGGCAACGATGGAACAACCTGCAATTCGTCACAAGTGCGTCGTTCCTCCTCACCGTCTACTCCGATTACCTCACCTCCGCCGGGAAAAACCTACATTGTTCCTCCGGCGCCGTCGCGCCGTCGGAACTACTCTCATTCGCTAAATCTCAGGTAACGAAATGAGAAATTTTCCCGATTTTCTTCTTGAACTCGATTATAACCATGAAAATCGTCTAAAAGCTTCGGAATTTTACGTTTTTTTTTAGGTTGATTACATACTTGGTGATAATCCGAGAGCGACGAGTTACATGGTTGGGTATGGAAGCAATTACCCACAACAAGTTCATCATAGAGGTTCGTCGATTGTTTCAGTCAAAGTGAACCCGTCGTTTGTAAGCTGTAGAGGTGGTTATGCGACGTGGTTTAGTAGAAAAGCGAGTGACCCGAATCTGTTGACTGGCGCCATTGTTGGTGGACCTGATGCGTATGATAACTTTGCGGATCAAAGAGATAATTATGAACAGACTGAGCCTGCTACGTATAATAATGCCCCTCTTCTTGGTATTTTGGCTAGGTTACATGGGGGGCATAACGGGTATAATCAATTGCTTCCTGGTATGTTATAAAATTTGGGGGAATTTTGTGTTTTTGGTGTGTTTTTTTTTATTGAATGTGTTTGATGTTGTTTGTAGTTGAAATTCCTGTTGCTAAGCCTATCGCTGTTCAACCGAAGCCTAATCCAGTAAAAGAAACTCCATTTTCAGGTAAATCTGAATCTTTCTAGATGAAAATCTTGATCTTTTCTTAATAATTTGTGGTAAAATGGTGAAATGAAGATTACCCAGATCAGAAAATTTATGTCGTCATCAACGTATGATCAAAATTTGTAATTTTTTCAAAGAAAAACGACTAAAGATCCTTTAGAAGAAAGTTTTAGTTCTCTTTTTACTGATTTTAGAAGAAATCTGATTCAAGATTCTGGCTTTGTTTTCAGCTCCAATTGCAATTGAACAAAAGACTACAACTTCATGGGTATCAAATGGGAAAACATACTACAGATACTCAACTATAGTAACAAACAAATCAGAGAAAACAATCAAGAACCTTAACCTATCAGTCTCCAAGCTCTATGGTCCATTGTGGGGCCTAGCCAAGAGTGTAAGTGGGTCCTACGGGTTCCCAACATGGGTTAGCTCATTGCCAGCTGGCAAAAGCATAGAGTTTGTGTACATCCATTCTTCTTCACCTGCAGAAGTATCGGTTTCAAGCTACACATTGGCATAATTCAAGATTACAAAATCAAGATCAAGTTTTTTTGAAAAAAAAGATTTGTTTAGGAGTACAAGAAGAAGTGGATTTTTAATTGTGGTTATTTAAAGGTGTGTAAGAATGGAGGAAGAAAGGAGTGAAGAGAGGATTTAAAAGAAGTGCTCATCCTCTTTCTCATCCTCTTTAATATTATTAGCATAGAATGGGAAAGATAGATTAGGGTTGTTTGTTTTTACTACAAGTTAGCTTTTTAAAAGTGTTTCTGGTGTGTTTTGTGGTGTACATTTGGCAAAACCTTAAGTTTCTATATGAATATATACATTATGTTACTCATTATTTGTTTTGCTTTTATAATATAATATAGGACGAATTTCATAAAAACCATTATATTTTCTGTCTTTCACTTTAAAAGTCATTAGTAAATATATTTTTGGCAAAAAAAAACACTAATAATTTGAATATTTTTCATTTCAACCATTATTTAACTACTAAAACTATTTAGCATGTTATAGATGCCTACCATAACTTCCAACCAAAATAAGATATTGTATCACATTAGACTCTTTCGGACTATTTTCTGTTTTTAAGTGGATTGATTTCAACTAGACACTTTACCAATAGGGCTAGATCATGTATATATTTATAATTTCCTAACCTATGTTAATAGGTAAATAACAGCTTAAATGGAAAAAATAATGTATAAATGCTTTTCTGAGAAAAAATAAATGTAATGACTTTTGAAAGGATTTTTTTGATAAAGACTACAAATGGTCTTGGCCCATATCGGCTCGCATAACAAATAAAGCAAGATTTATAAATATCTTTCAGAGAATATATACTCTCTCCGTTCCAAATTAACTGTCCACGTTTGACTTTTAAAGTTTTTTTTCTACAACTTTGATCTTAAATATTTTTATTCTTGTTATATCTTACTTGATAAAACTTATAACAATGAAAAGATATTTAAAATACAATCCATTAGGGGTGTTGAACGGGTAATTTTTTCGGGTTTCGGGTTTTTCATGTTAGAAAAATTACCCGTTACCCTACCCAAACTAAATTCGGGTAATTCGGGTTTGGGTAATTCGGGTATCGGGTCGGGTTTAGGTAATTCGGGTATTACCCGAAATATATAATTTTTTTTTTTAATTTCACCTGAAAATAAATTTAATTAAACAAATACATCGTGCTTTAATAGTCTTGTTTATATAAACAAACCAGACATAAACGAAGTTACTCAAACTTTGAACATTAAGATTTTTTAGTCAATAATACATGAGATATCAAGTAATTTTTTAACAACTTAATCTAATCTAATAAGATGTTAAAAAAATAAATACCTAAAGATCTTAATTTAAAAGTTTAAAATGATTAAGATAAATGTAGCCATAAGTTTTGTCATGTTTTGAAGTTTCGTCAAGATAATAAGTTTGTTAGTTGCAATAAAAACTATAATCTAGAAAATAGTTAAGTTTTAAAAAACGTGATGATATATAAAAATTACTTTTAATATTGTTAGTGTCTTATTGATATAATAAATATATTTATGTTTTACAATAATCATAGTTAGTTTAAGCGTGATCAAATGACTGTTATATAGTACAAGCTCTACAAAAAAAGGAATTTTTAAAATAATTTGGGTAATTCGGGTATACCCGAAACCCAAAAAATGTACCCTTTACCCGATCCGAAAAAAATCGGGTAACCCGATTACCCGGAATAATTTACCCGATACCCGATTTACCCGACCTGATTTACCCGATACCCGAAAAAATCGGGCGGGTAATTCGGGTATCGGGTATTTTCGACAGGGCTACAATCCATTCATATATTTTGCATCAAGTAGTATCTATCAAAAAGAAAAATATTTAAGGTCAAAGTTGAAGAATAAAGACTTTCAAAGTCAAATGTGGACAATTAATTTGGGACGGAGGTAGTATCATATAGCATACCTACTGCTTGACGAAATGTCTTATTTTCATCGTTTACTCATCACTCTTGCCAAAAAGATATCTATATGTAGTCATCTGATTAACGTTGCTTGCCTGTTTTATAGAGCACACTAAGTGCTCGACGAAAGGCCTGAAGGAATTTCTTATCAAGAAACTTTCTTTCTTCACCTGGTAGTAGAAGTGTTGATGTGAGAACTTCTAGCTTAGCGTTTAATTTTGTGTTGTAGATTTGGCAAATTCAATATGAATATATAGATTGTGAAACACATTTGTGTTTTTGTTTTGTATAATTTAACACATCGCATTTGGTTTTCACTTACATATTTCTAGACACAAGATTTATGAGTCATGTATTTATAATCTGAAAATCATATCAATTATAAATATATGATTTAAAAGAAGTGCTCATCCTCTTTCTCGCTTTGAGTTAACTCTCTCCTTGTTTCACCCATTCTCAGCTTCTTATTTCTACATATGTCGGAGGTCATCTAAAATGGTGTAAAATAAACTATATTTTAGATAGGGTTGAGATTAATTAAAATTGTTTCCTTCAGCTATACTTGATCTATCTTTTTGTTTTCATGCAATAAAATGTTCAGAGTGATGGTGTGTATTCAAGATTGAATTATGAAAGCATTGAAGACATGTATATATATTATCTCTTTCTATATTTCAAGTCTAATTGAATTATGAAACAAATACATCTCTTATTTGATTATACATTAAAAATCAAATTTTCTTTTGTTATACAAGAGCTCCATGCAATTATTGATAGATATTATTTAAAAAAAAAAAAAAAAAAAAAAAAAGCATAATAAAATTCGACTTCAATGTGGGCTTACAAATCATCTCAAAATATAACACACCAAAGCTGTACAATCACATAATTCAAAAGAAAATACACTTGAAACATAAACATATAAAATAAACGCTAAAGAAGATGAGGAGACACCATATTCTTTACCAAGCAATTCACCTGTTGTTAATTTTCTGGTACATGTTATCAATTACACTCTGCAAAAATAAAGTAATTTCATCAGAAAAAAAAAAAATACACGTTTATTCCGTAAAACTTATATTTTATTTCTTTATATTTTACCTGATAGTATTTGAGCAACTGGGGTCTTTTCTTCTTGAATGTCGGGGTCAAAAGGTCACGCTCCATGTCAAAAGGAACAGGGTCAAGGTGGATCGCTTTCACAAATTCAAAACCTTTCAACTACAAAATTAAAATAAAAGATTAATTCATGGAAGCAGATAAGTGGTAAAATAGTTAATCATTAATTAATTAAAAAAAAAAAAAAAAAGAACCTTGTTTTCTTTTCCGACTTTAGTGAGCTCTCCCAAAACATATTCTTTAATTTTGGGATTTTCACATAAAGCTTCAAAATCCCCAGAAATGTTATGCGTTTCAGCATAATGTTCAATTGCTTGCTTATTTGGATTCGCAACAGCAACAAGACAAGACTCAAAGCTGTTCCCATAGATCCATATCTAAAAAACACCAACCATAAATTAAATAACATCTTACATGGCATTTTAGGTAAATAAGTTGAAATTGCAAGAGTATTACCGAATCAAGATCAGAAACAAGTCCAAATACATTCTCAAGATTTTCAACAGCAACATATTCTCCTTGTGAGAGCTTGAATATATTTTTCTTGCGATCAATAATTTTCATGCTTCCATCAGGTTGCCACTCACCAATATCACCTAAACCATAAAATAATAGTATAAGTTAAGATTTTCTTTTTTCTTTTTTCATTTTTTTTTTGTAAATTATATAAAACCTGTATGGAACCAGCCATCAACAAGGACTTCTGCTGTGAGGTCTTCTCTTTTATAATAGCCAGCAAATAGAACATCTCCTCGAATACATATCTCTCCTTGTGGTTTACTTGAAAGCGCGTCATAATTCATTTCAGGAACAGATTCCAAACGGGCATCCAAATTGGGTACGGGTGGGCCCACAGTGCCCACCATTTCCATTTCGTTTGGTAGTGACACGAATGATCCAGCACAGGTTTCAGTTAGGCCTGTGTATTATTAATTAAAAAATATAAATTAAAAAAATTAAATGATTTTAAAAAAAAACAAAAAAGTTTATAAGGAATAGAATAATTACCGTATCCTTGAAGGACATGAGAACATGTTACTACTTTTAGGAAAGCTTCTACGTGTGGAGCTAGTGGTGCAGCTCCTGAGAGAATAATGCGTACATTACCTCCTAACCCTTGTTTTATCTGCCACAAATGAAAAATGACGATTTTACCCTTGTGTTTAAAAGTCAAGTTGAAGATATATAAGATGATGTCATGTGAATGTCACACACCTTGCTGAAGACAATTTTGTCACTTAATGGAGATGCCTCTGGATGTTTTTTCCCTCCCTTCATATTACGTAACTTGCTGCACAAGTTTAGTATGCAAATTATTTTGTGAAAAAAAAATTTTAAAAGTATTTACTATTTAGTAAACCTTGCTTCAAATGATAAAAATAATACTTACTATGCATAAGCTAGACTAAACAATTTGCTTTTGAGAAAACCCCCTGAAGAAATCTTCTGTTGCAAACCTAATAAAAACAGAAGGAATTCAATTCATTAATTAAATAAGGGAAAATTATATATTTTTTTTTTGTGATTTGCAAAATAATTAACTCACACCAAAATACCTGAATAAATCCTATCCAAGACACGAGGAACAGCACAGAAAATGGTAGGTTTTAGCTCCCCTATGTCTTCAATCAGCAATTTAACATCCTTTATATATAATAATCCAAATTATGATATGATTCATATAAAATAAAATATAATTACAAATAAAATTAGTAATCATCTTACCCCACGCCAAAATCCTATAGATGCTCCATGATTGATAAAACATTCTTCAATCACCCGATCAAATATATGTGCCAAGGGTAGAAACGAGAGATAAACATCATTTGAATCCAACTGAAAAAAATATATATACATTTATCATTGTTAAGTATAAAATAAGCCAGAAATTAGTAATCCTTTTGTCATGTTTATTATAAAATGGCAACCCGTTTCCTTTGAAAACTTGATATACATCAAAAAGGTAAAAACTTTATTCGATATACATTGCAAAGTTCAAATCTTTATTCCATATAAAGCTCAAAGTTTCATTCAATATACACTAAAAGCTTCAAAGTTTTATTTTATTATACACAAAGAAAAGAATTCAACGTTTTATTCAATATAATAAAGAACTAAGTGGGAACTCACTGATGCATCTACACTCCCTAGTAGACGATGAACACCAGCTATAAGTGTCACAATGCTGTTATTTGAAATTAAAACACCTTTTGGATCACCAGTTGTCCCACTAGTGTACATTATTGTACAGATGTCACTTTTCTTCTTCAGTGGGAGCTCAAACTGTTTATCATCACCCTGTAAATA